TTATTTTTCCTTACTGTCACATCTAATTTCTATTATAACCAAACTTAATAATAATAGTATTTCTATTGGGCCTAATTCTCACACCCCCTTAATACCTCTTCTATCACCAAAACAAGCCCAACAACTAATATAATTAATTCCAACATTATTATTATTATTAATTAACCAATTAATTAATTAATAATAATCTTAACAACTTATACCAACAATTCTCAACATCTAACAACTACAACAAATAATCCAAAAATAATTTAATTAAATAATTAATTAAATTAACGGGCGTTGCAGTATGGCTTCAGGTACCATCTATTACTAAGGCTGAGATGCAGGATGTGGGTGGGATGCATCAAGTGTCGTCTGTGTGGCCTCAGGTGTCGGTTGGGAATCATATGTCTCTCTTGTCTCAAATATCATCAATGAGGTAATGCGTCTATGGGAAGACGGAGGCGGGGAGGGATGACTTGGAGAACCTCACTTGCTGCGGGAGGACGATGAAGTAGGCGTAGAAACATGAACAACGAAACCTATAGGCGAATCTGGCACAACCTGTTTAGAGGTAGAATGAGTCTGGAATGCCTGACTCCTTTCCCTCTGAACAAAAATATGTTATGCAAGTCTGTTGTGTCTCAACTTAGATGGTCTCTAATTTATTACTCCTCTAGAAGTACGAAACAAACGTTAACAAAATGACTCATGTTCAAAAAAATGGAGAAAATGCATATAGACTAAAATTGGATATGCATTTCCAATTTTTGATGTAAATGTTGAAGAAAATTGAAAATGCATCTCCGAAACGACCTACAACTTTTCAGCTTTGTCAATGGCAAAACTCATTCCCACTGACCTTAAAAAAATGATCATTGGTCGTAAAAAATATACCTAACACGTTTATTATGACTCCTAAGCTTGCAAACACTAAAAAACTTGAATTATCTAGCCTAAAACACAATTTCTAAGTGAAATTATATTAACTCCCAAAAGCTCAAAAATAACTTATAAATGATGATTTTTGTTGGTTGAACCTGCTTGAACACTGAAGTTTGTCTGATGCTTGATGATTCCTGTAGAGCTTTTCGCAAAATGGGATGATCGTGACACAATGGAGTTTGAGAGGGTTTGGTTTTTGGATTTTGAGTGTTTTTCTTTTTAAATGTTTTTTGAAAATGAGGAAGGGGAAGAGGAAGCGCAAGTTTATGTGCTAACACGAACTGAAAATACAACTACGAGACCTCCCGTAAATGCATTTCCAGTTAATTTCTTAGTCTTAACCATTGTGTTAATTTGGGGTGCTTCTGGAAATACAACTACGGGTACTCCCATAAATGCATTTATGGTTAGTTCCCAATTGTTTCATAGAGTCTTGCCCACCAAAGGCCTCGCTTAGGGTCCTTCTAGAAATATATTTATGGTATTTTGGAGTATTTATGTATTTTCGAGTGGTGTCCTAGAAAAGCATAGAGTGCTTTATGAAACTCCCTTATTGTTTTAGGTTAGTTTGCTCTCTAAGTCAAAATCCTAAACTATAAAAGTTCAAAATACCTAATTTAGCTAACACTAGCAAAATTGGTCTAAATCGATATCCTGTCGAACAACCTACTTTGACATTTCGGCACACACCTTTATATCTATCGAGCAAACTTACTTCAACATAAGGAATTACAATTTGAACAACACCATTATCTAAGATCACTCATAACTTATTCCGGATAGTTTATACTCATTTGCTCCTCAAGTAGTAAATTGTATTTCTAACACGACAACTCCTAACTTTTATTTATTACATCAAACAAAAGTTCTGGACGTGTACAAGCAATGGTGAGCTCAATTTCAAGGATGATTATAAGCACTTCAATGGGAATCACATAAAGCTAAGTGGTCTAACTCTATTTGGCATACATCTATACCTCCAGCAAAATCTCTAGTTAGTTGGAAGAATATGCATAATGTGCTAGCCACAAATAATAATTTGAACAGCACACAGTGTCAGTGTGCCCCCTTTGCAACTCATCAGACATAGATGAAAATTTTGGATATGGTGGAGAATTTAATTGACGTGAGGTTAAACATGACTAACATAGAGTCACTTTTTGCATTGGAAACAGAGGTTGGAACACTTAGTTTAAAAACCAAAGTATTTGGTGGGACTTTATTTCTAGATGTGTTTTTGATGGCTTCTTAAAGGATATCTTAGGTTTGATTAATTGGCTTCTTACGCCGTAAACTCTTCTTTGTATTTTTTTATTTATTTAATATTAATTCATGAGTTGTTTTATAAAAAAATAAAATAAAGGTGAGGTCTAAGTTACCTTTTATAAATTGAGAATAATTTACTTTTAAAGATATATAATAATAAAATTTTATTAAATAAAATTAATTTTTAAAATTATATATTAACCTTAAATCTTAAAATATTATCTATATCTTTTATCACTTAAAAATAGTTCAATATCATCTTTTTTATCGAATGTGAGAATCATTACTCACACTTAATATGCTAATATTTTACTACTCAAAAATTAAATGAAAAATTAAATTATATATATTTTTTATTTCATTTTGATTTCTTAAAGTTTTAGATTAATATGTGATTTTAAAATTTTATTTTATATAACAAATTTTAATTGATATATATTATAAGAAGTAAATTACCCTAAAATTTATAAGATAGTAAACTTTTTTACCTAAAATAAAACATGCACAATGTCTCATACAGTATTCAAAATCCTAATGAAGATTTATAATTTGATCAATATTAATTTATGCTCTTAAAACACATAAAAGAACTCGATATAAAAATATTCATATTAAAAATCAATTTTTTTTTTAAAATTATTATATATTTTTTTATGTCACAAAAAGCATTAGATTAAAAATCTAAAAACCCTTATAATTTATATTACATATTATAAATTTTTTTCTACATCTATTACTTTTCTTACGGATCTCTAGCGAAAAATCTAAAATATCATAAAAATTCAGATATGCATATCCGAAAACATCTTATTTTTTACAAATAAAAAAAATAATTTCAAATATGCATATCTGAATACACTTTACTTTTTACGAAAAAAATAATTTCAGTTATGCATGTCCGAATTTTACAATAAAATAAAGTGGATTCAGATATATATTTTTGAATAACCATTATTTTTTATGAAAAAAACGATTTCATATACATTTCAAATTTTATTATGTTATAAAAATTTAAAAATAGAACTAAAAATCAAATTAAATTAAATTAGGTTTGTACAGATTTTTTTTGAAAATATCTAGATGAAAAATAAATTAAATAAAATAGAAAACCAAAGAATTTATAATTTTTAGGGTGGGATCCCCCATCTTTTCTAAAAATAGAGGATTTTAATCCTTGATTTTATTTCGGATGAATTGACACAATAAAATTTTAATTCAGAGTCAATTTTTCAGAAAACTGAATTTTTTATGTTAGATCACATGAATATTAAAGACGCAGTAACACAAAGTCTAGAACACTTTTAATTACATTTTATTTTGTTATAAAATATATCAATTATTACTATGGGTGTTCAAATCCAATCCAATCCAAATAAAAAACCGAAAACCGATCCAAAAAACCGAAATTTATTGGATGTGTTTGGATGTCATTTTATGAAAACCGATCGATTTGGATCGGATTTCAGATTAATTTTTCAAAATCGATCCAAACCAAACCAAATCGCATACATATATTTATACTTATTTACTTTTTATTAGTATGATATGTTACATGAATTTATTATTAGGTGATAATAATTTTTTTAATATTAGTTATTAGCTTGGTATAATTTATTTATTTTTATTGTTTCAATCATAACCAACCACTCTCATTTTGTAATATTAACTTTTAATATACTATATGTTATATATTATACAAAATCTATGATTTATTAGTAGTTTTATAATATTAATAAAAATATAATGTGTAATTTGGATATCCAAAAACCGATCCAAATTAAACCGCATAAAATTGGATCGGATCGGATTGGATTTTTTTAATATATCATCCAAAACCGAACCGAACCGCAAATAAATTTATCTTTGGATCGGATGATTTTTTGTCTTAAAATCGATCCAAACCGAACCGCGAACACCCCTAATTATTACATTTCACCATTATAACTAGAAATTTAATTATTGTATTTATTGCTTAATTTCAATCATAAACTTATTTTAATTTTTAATTTTTAATTATAAATTTAAATTATTCTTTATTAATAATAATTCAATTTAATTATATTATAACTATATTATAAATAAATATATTTTTAAAATAAAATCAAAAGAAATTTTGAATATTGAATTATTTCGAATATATATCTAAAAACTCTCTGAAAATGAAAAATAAGAGTTCTTTCGAATATACATATCTAAAATAATTTAATATCTTAAATTCACAAAATGCATTCGAAAATATATATTTTAATGATATTTTTGAATTTTTAATGGTGAAAATCATCACTACTAAATATAAACAGAAATTATCTTAATTTTACAGAAATTATCTTAATTTTTTGTGAGGTCATTAGAAGGTAATATGATGTCATGTTTTGTAGACACTTGTCATCCATAGATGTCACGAAAAGCCATAATTTGCTCTACCCTCTGATCTCTTAGTGGGTTGGTTGGTAGTGATCCACTCACTAACTTAGTGCACTTCTCTAGTTTTGTTCATACCATTACTTTCTTTCCTTTTTCCACTTCAATTCAAAATTACCCTACTTCGTATAACCCATTAAATGTTTTCATATTCATATAAATGATTAATAGAAAAATGCAAGACCACAAGTAACAACGACTCATACATTGATTACCAACAATAGTTTAAAAAATATATAAGTCCTAAAATGTAATCATATTCTAATGTCGCCATCACAATTTTTTATGTAAGATATGATAAATAACATTCTTCACCAACAACATGCTATTTAAGTACTTCCAATCTCACATTCACTTTCCCAAATTCACAACACCACATAAACAAAATGCTTTACCACAGCTCAAATTCCATTTTTCATTTCTTGCTACTAGCATCAATGGTAATTGGCATTGGAATGTCAGATTCATCGAAAGACAAACAAGAATGCACAGATCAATTGGCTAGTCTAGCAACATGTCTCCCTTATGTTGAAGGTCAAGGAAAAACTCCAGCAACAGATTGTTGTGATGGCCTCAAGACACTTCTTAAGACAAACGAAAAATGCTTGTGTTTAATTATCAAAGATCGTAATGATCCTGATTTGGGTGGTATAGTAATTAATGTCACTTTGGCTTTGAATCTTCCTAAAGTTTGTAATGCCCCTGCCAATGTCTCTAAATGTCCTGGTAAAGTTTTTTAATTTTTTTACCACTTACACTTCTGGAAAAAAAATCGACACTCATGATTATGTTTAACTTATTTATTTTTTAAAATAATTTCTTTTAAAATTTTTAAGATGAAGTATTTTTTTTATTTATTAATTTTTAATGGAATTAGAGTTGCTGCACATGGATCCAAAATCAGCAGAGGCTCAAGTTTTTTATCAATTGAAGAATGGCTCCAGAAATATTGGCCCTAGTGCTGCACCTAGTTCTTCACATGGAGCAAGCACTCATGCAAACAGTACTACAGAAAAGAGTGATGCATTCAGCAAAGAGAAGAAGTTGTTTGGATTAGAAGCTTTGGCTGTGGCGATTTTGGTTTGGTTTTTATTGGGCTCTACAGATGGAAATATTTTTATTGAGATACCAATGTGAATATTGTTTATCATTTCCAAACTCTTTCCTCTTAAACAAGGGTTTTATTTTCTTGGTACATACTAGATATGTACAATTTAAGTTAGTATCATTTTGTAAAAGTTTTATGTATGGTGTAATTTTGTTTTCATTTTTCTAAACTTTGTTAAAAAAATATATGTGTTAATAATATGTTAGAATCATTTAGTGATTAATTAGAATATATATTCATCATCTCATTGTCCTATGTGTTATATCCAAAAAGGCTAAAATATACAATTCTATGGTATTGGAAATCATGGATTCGAACCCTCGTAAAAACGGAAAAAAAAAATCTCATTTTAAATAAAATGATCTAACAAACTAATTATTACTCTAACAATGTATATTTATTCCCCTAAGAATTACTTCAACTAAGAATATTCTCTCAAATTTTAAAAATTAAAAGGGATGTGTGACTTCAAACACAATAAAATATTATGTTTTTCGAAATGATAGCCATAAAAGTAAAATTTAAATCAAATGTTTTTAATCTCAGGCTCTTACACAACTTTTTAAGATAGTCATTATGAATTAATCTTAAAATATAATAGAGTATGCAACGTACATTTACTGTGCCTATATACTTTATTACTACATTTTTCATATAATATCAAATAATAAATTAAAGATAAACAATAAGATTCTTGATTTCTTGCATAAGAAAATATAAAGTTTTTCCAATATGAATTATAATTTTTTCTTTTCTTCTGGGTTAAATTACAGTTTTTGTCCTCCTATTTTGATCAATTAATGAAATCAGTTCCCCAATTTATTTCTTAAACAATTTTGGTCCCCATGTCTGTTTTTCGTCCAAAAAAAAAGCTTATGTATATTATTTTTTAGATACGTGACATACTTTTATTGACTTGGCATAAGAAATATTAATTTTTCATTACATTTTCGGCGATATTTTCTGTTAGTGCGTGAGACACTTTTAGTAATGAGAGAAAGAGAAAATAATAAGGAAATAAGGATTATATTATTCACTTGAATTGTAACAAATAATGATACAAACTATGATTATTTATATACAACCTGATTGGACTTGGACTTACCAACTTGGATTATATTTAATGTATCTCAATATATCTAACTTAGATTATATTTGATATTATATCTTAATATCTCAACATGTCCCCTATAATATAAGTCATCGAAAATACGTTAATCATAGTCAATCTGAATTATTCCTAAATTCTTTTTCAAATTCAGAAATCTGTCGATCTTCAATTATTTGGTAAAAATGTCGGTCAACTATGCTTCATTTGATCAATACCTAACTTCAAGTTCACCTTGATATACTTTTCCCCTCAAGACGTGGAATCTAACTTCGATATGCTTACTTCTTCTATGCAAAACTGGATTCTTCGCTAGATTTATGGCTGACTTGTTATCGATTTGCAACACAAGAGGTTTCTTCACTTCGACCTTCGTTTCTTCGAGTACCGATCTGATCCAAATTGCTTGACATACAACATAGGATCCTGCTATATATTTAACTTCACACAATGACAATGCCACCACAGGTTTCTCTTTCGAACACCATGAGATTGGGGCACAAAATACTTGAAAGAAATATCCAGTTGTGCTTCTTCGATCTTTCTTGTCTCCACACCAATCAGCAACTCAAAAACAAGTAATTGCTGCTTCCTTACCTTAAGAATCTCGTTGAAACATAATTCCATAGTCTACCGATCCTTTTAAGTATCTCATAAATCTTCTTGCACCCTTCATGTGCGACAATTTTGGTTCACCCAAGAATCTGCTCACTAATCTGACGGTGAAAGCTATATCAGGTCGACTGTTGCACACATACCTCAGAGATTCCACAATTTTCTTGAACAAAGTTACATATAATTTTTATTCCTCTCCATTCTTCTCTAACTTCAAATTTGGTTCCACAGGTGATGATGTAGGATTCGAATCATCCATTTTGAATCTCTTGAGTATCTCTTTGACATATTTCTGTTAGAACAAGATTTGGTTTTGTAATATTATCTCTAAGTTTTGATGATAACAAATGAGTATGTTTGCATGAACAATTTTGATACTCTAATGTTTGTTATTTTTTAGTATTTAACAAACAGGTTCGACTTCTGATGGATGGCGTGGCCAAAACATTAGAAGAGAATTAGTTCCGCTTCTATGTTACACAAGTTTTGATGAACAGTAGTAAGAAACTCCAGAAGCTTTTGAAGTGCAGGCTCTAATATTCGTCTAAAGAAAAAAGTCAGAAGATATGAAGAAAAAAGTTCTACTTAAGTCCAGATGCTGAAGACTCATGCTTCTAAAGAAAACGTGTTCTAAAGAAACCAGTCAGAAGATTTGAAGATAGAAATTCTACTTAAGTCCAGATGCTGAAGACTCGTGTTCCTGAAGATAATGTGTTCTAAAAAAACCAGTTAGAAGATCTGAAGACAAAAGTTCTACTTAAGTCCAGATACTAAATACTCAAGTTTCTAAAGACCCATGATTCTAAGAAAAGGCTTCTAAAGACCAAGTGCTGAAGACTCTGAAGACAAAAGTTCTAAAGACTTGAAGTTCTGAAGACCCAAGGTTCTAGGAAAAAGGTTCTCACGACAAAGTGCTGAAGACTCTGAAGATGTAGTTATGAAGACTCTGAAGACTTGAAGTTCTGATGACCCTGTGTTATATTCTCGCTTCTAAACTCATGCTTGTAGAAGCCTATGTAATGCAGAAGGAAAGAAGATAACGTTAACGCGGTACAAATAGTACATGGTACAATCAATGTTTCATTCCACTACCATGAAATAACGAACATGTCACACGATCTTGTCCCCCACGTTACTTCTCAAGCATCCAATATTTCTAGAAATCCCAAGAGTAACCCTCAACAGATATATTATTTTATTGGCTATATAAAGGCTTGAAGACTAAGAGAGAAAGCTGCCAATTCACTAAATATTCACGCATAAATGTTGTTCATAGATTTCATATTCTTAAGTCATTGTTCTTAAAATAATTTACATATTCAGCTTGTATAGAAGCAATATTATTGTAAACCAAACTTGTATTCAAAAAATTGTTTGATTTCCTTAAGGGACTGGATAGGTCTGTATCCTTAAGAATTTAGGACTAGTGTGTCTTAGAGATTTGATTTTCCTTAAGGGACCAGCTAGATATGTATCCTTAAGAAGTCTAGGACTTGTGTGTCTTAGAGGTTGTTAGTCACTTGCAGATAGCTTGTGCATTATAATAATCAGTTGGATTATTGGATTAAGTCCTCGATTGAGAGAGGTGAAATCACCTTGGCGGGTGGACTAGACTAGCTTGATATTTTTCAAGTGAACTAGTATAAACATATCTTGTTCTTTATTTCTTGTTCTTAATTATTGTTATTATCAAGAGTGAAGGAAAAAATATTTTAATTAAAGGGGAATATTTTTGAAAGTTTTTTATTTAAAATCCAATTCAAACCCCCCTTTCTTGTGTTTTCACACCTTCAATTGGCATTAGAGCTCTGGTTTTGAGGAGATAAAAAGTTTGCATTTTTATCAACACTTAACATTATTCAGTACCGATCCAGTGTGTGTGAAAAACCAATGGCTACACCTACTTAAACCGTTGATAATAAGGATAATGATAGAGATCACTATAGTTCAAAACCTCTTATGTTTGATGGGGACCCATGGTAATTGCTTTGAAACTTTCAAAGGATCTGAACAACACCTCTCTTGAGGAGCTGATAGATCTTTAAGAAGTCATGAAATAAAGGTTGATCAAGATGGACCTTATAAGAGGGTAAAATAATTTGCTTTAAAGTCTACTTTTGGAAAGACAAAGGGTTATCAAGCTAAGGAAGAATGAGAAGAATCTGAAGAAGATTCAGATGATGATGAACTATCTTTGATATCCAGAAGAATCAGTCAAATCTGGAAGCACAGAAAAAGCAAGTTCAGAGGACAAAGAAGAATAAATGGAAAAGGTTAATCTACTTCTGGTCAGAAGAATGCTTCTGGAAAAGAAGAGTGTAACGAGCCTATACATTACAAAAATGATTGCCCAAAGCTCAAGAAAGACAAGAAGCCTAAGAAGGCTTACAAAGATAAGAAGGGTCTCATTGCAACATGGGATGATTTAGAATCAGAAGATGAAGATTCCGATGAAGAGCATGCAAACGTGGCACTCATGGAAAAAACTAGCACATATGAAGAAACTTCGGAACATGAGTTGATAGAAGATGATGAGTCAGACTCTGAAGATGAAGCTGAGGTAATTGCTTCTCTTTCTCGTTTTCAACTTGAATCTTCTTTTTCTGAATTGGTGAGAAAGTATCAAACTCTTCTAAGTAAATATAAAAATATGAAAAAGAAGTTTGTAGATACTTCTGAAAACTCTACTAATGATGAGCAAAACATTTCTAATTTAAATGAAAAATTATTTATTTTTGAAAAATCAAATCTAGCTCTCAAAAGTAAAGTTTCTAGGTTAGAAGAAGAGATAATCTCTACTACATCTATTACTGATGAAGTAATCAGATATGATAGAGCTTTTCATCATTTCCTAGCTAAGAGCATAGATACAAGCAAAATGGCTTCAATGATTTATGGTGTTAGTAGGAAGCAGAGGCTTGGGATATTCAGGATCCTCAAAGAAAATTGATGAGACTCTGAATGTCAAACCAAAACCTCTTTTTGAACATTTCCTGCTTGCTGGCACAAATTTGAAATGTCTAAAACAAGAAGGTTCTGATACTACTGTAGCACAAACACAAACACAAAAGGAAACTTCTAAACCAAAGTATCACGCACAAACTTCACATGATTATCCCGTTGCACAAAAGTACAAAGGTGCCAGAACCTCTGGAGCTGCTAACAAGAAAAGACCCAGAAAATAAGTACCCAAAGATCAGATAATCTATGTTGCAAATGTTCTTGATGGTGCAACTGAAACACCAATTACGGCACCTGGACAATGGATGCTTGCAACATATGACGGGAGAAAGGCATATGTTCTAA